CAAGACAGCTTGAGGCTGGAAGGCTCCAGTGGCGCTAAGACAGATTCCGATTTCTGGTCTCTTTGCTCCACAACTTTGCTCCGACTATTTTCGTGCCTCGCGAGTTCGACAGTTTACCCTGTAGTCTCCAGCAGAGACCTGCATCTCGACGAGGGAGGGTTCTGCTCAAAGCTAAACTAAACTCGGACTGCAGCTCCAAACTCCGACATCAGGGTTGGAATCTCCCGCAGGTAGGCCTGACCTTGCATAGGGCAAGATGAAGTTCTGGGCTTCGAAACACTACAAGATGAGCCCAGAATCCTCGAAGTATCTTGAAATCTTCGGCACCCACGACCCAAAACATCCGAAACTCCGTGCACGTAGTGAAGCGGGACTTTCCGGCTTGGGAAGTGCCGGGCAAACCTTCTCAGAGTTTGGGGATTTGAGCCTTTGAGCCAATGTGTGGTAGCAGGTTTTGGCCCGACTTGATGAGGAAGCTGATGTTGCAGAACCACATCCAGCAGGATTGGCAAACATGATGCATAAACTGCAAGGGAATTCACGAGGTCGAAACGCAAACCCGAAGCAACTGAGAGCACAAATCCGTGAACACAACAAAAGCCGAACCCCCCGACACTAAATCCCTATTTCATCACAGCCCCTCAGGCCACAACGATGACGTCAGTGCTACAGCACTTGTAGTGGGGCTACACCGCCGGCTCTAATGATGATTCTTGCTACTACTACCACTAAAATCAAACGCAGTATCACTTGCTACAGAAAATACCGATCATGACAATCATCGTCATTTTGTCGTCATAATCGTCAGCCATGCCCACATTCAGAAGTATAATCCTTCGAATGAAGCCTGAGCATTGAGTCACTGAGCATTAGAAAAAGCGATAGCAACCGCTGCAGCTGTGCCGCTGCCGGCGTGTTGTCCGTCCATGCTGGTCTTGAGCCGCCGCCTTGGACGTCTTTTGCAATTCGCACTGACTTAACAGCTTAGAAGGGCAAAGAAGCAAACTCATGATTTTACCTGCCATGCTTGTGCAGTATCCTGGTGAAGGTGCAGCATCTACCGCTCCAATCCACTCGGTATCGTCTGGCGGGTGGTGGCTGAGTCGGTCCAGCTCATGATCCTATGGCCTCATGCCAGAATTCATCCAGTTCTGTAACACCTCTTCCATGCCCAGACCATTGCAGGCTGGGCAACGTTAGGACCACCGAGCATCAGGTGCAGAGCAAGGGGGGGGGGGGGGGGAGTCTGGCACCAGGGACTGCGCAACAGACACAGAAACATCTATGGAGACCTGCGAGTCCAGGCACAGATCCTCCCGCATTGCTTTGATCTCCTTGCGGATGATAGTGCTCTCGTAGCCCATCCGTGCCTCAGTCATGGGCACTCCTGTCTCCGGCATGAAACTCGCAAGAATCCCAGGGCGGTCGCTTGCAACTGCTCCAGGGCTGGCGATGACAAGGCTTCGAGACGCAAAGCAATGTCACGGGGGAAAGGGGCCACAAGGAAATGGCTGGAAACCACTCTGAGTACTGCAAAGCCTGTAGGCCCGAACTGCCTAATCTTAACCTCCCCTGACAGCAACTGGAAAAAAACCTGCGCACAACTGCGACAACCTGAACTCTGCAACCCCAATCTCGAATACTCTGCCGGCCAACACCCCTAACTCAAATCCGAAAATCTAAACCCTAAATCCTCAAACCCACCAATGGACCAAACCTCAAAGCCGAACATCTTAAAACCACAACTAGCAACCATCTAAATCCCATACCCTCGAACCCGCAGACCCCCCAAAAAAAACCCGAAAGCCCTCTAAAAACCCTGAAGTGAAAAGTCAAAGCTACGACTTGGAGGCCCTTCGCCGGACCGGCAAGGTTCATGCAGCCATACCTTAAAGGGAGCTTACGCTTCAGGGGGGTGGGTTTTAGAGTTTGGGGTTTCGGGCTTGTAGGCTTCAGGCTTCAGGGCTTTGGGTTTCTTTTAAAGTGCAGTGGACCCTTTCTGCGAAATGATCCAGCCAAAGTCGGCCTACACTACAAAGACAGCCAGACTCAGAAGCAGAGTTTGGGGTTTAGGGCTTATAGGCTTCAGGGGTTTGGGTTTAGAGCTTAGGGCTTAGGGCTTAGGTTCAGGGGTTTGGCTTGTGTTTTGTTGTGTAAGGCTGGGGTTTAGGGTAAGGGAACATCCGGTGTGGGGATGGTGCCCGAAGAGCTTTGTCTTTCAAGGGGCAGATTGAGCAAAAGTAAGTTTGGTTTTGTGGGATCAATGGCTTTAGGCCTTGAGGGACGCAAAAAAGAGCTGTCCTCTGTGGATCAGTTGACTTACGGTTGCTGGTTTGGGCTTCAGAGTTCCTCAGCTTGGGGAGAGTTTCCTACTAATAAGTGTGAAGCAGAAGTCTTGATGTTTGATATTTGGAGTATCATGGCTTTGTGCATAAAAGATACTCGGATGATTGCACGGAGCCGCATGGCGAGGGTGTGTATATAGCAACATACATCATACAACAGTATACGGCAGCATAGATTTTCAATACTCATATCTGTGTACGATATGCTCTGCGCGCCTTCACTGTAGAATCCCCTTTGTATGCCGTGGGGGCCTGACTCTTGGCCGTCATTTCCGAAGTTGCAACCAAATCACCAGCAAGAGCTGGAAGTCCCTCCACGGTTTTGGGAAGAGGAAGCCCTGCACTCTTCTTACAAGAACGTAGCATCCATATTGCGTGCTGAACGACACAAACTCATCGAGCGTAATGTCACCACTGCCGTCTGCGTCGATGCACCTCAGTTCAAACATGCCACTGATGCACATGAATGATACTAGATCCTGGACCTGCTCCAACTATCTGTTGTTTCTGTGGTGGTGACTGACGAGAAGCTGATTGTCCACCACAAGCAGTATCGGACGAGGTGGTGATGATTCCGTGTCTGTGTGTGCGCGAAAGCATTCCCAGCACTGCCTGTGCTGCCAGGCCGCATGAACAAGGTGACAATGTCGTCCGTGGCTATCTCCATCCTCGGCCGTCGATGGCTTGCAGTCTTGATCATGCTTTCTGGCCGCCTCCCTATTCTCACTATGCTCGCATAGAAAGGTGAGCAAGGTCTCTGCCGGTGTCGGGTAGCACTGACTCGGCTTGATGCATGCGACTCAAACGACTGATTCAGCTCAGCGGCGCGTGCATGAAGCTTCGCAACTTCTGACGTTGCATGGCTTCCTGGCAGCAGTACTCAGTACTTCTCTGGCTTTGGGAACGAAATAGCCGCCCTGAACCCTCATGGCCCTAAAGCTGCAAACACTTCTGGGAAGACCACAATAGCCACAAACAGCCCGAAACCCTGAAGCTTCAACCATTCCCCAAACGGGAGCTGGGAGTTTCCGAAAACAGGGGACCCCAATAAAGTACTCTATGAACTAATTCGTGGGATCCTTATTATAAGGACCCCCAAATTAAGGTACCCCCTCTTTTCGCAAACACCTAGACCTACACCGGCCCGCCTTCAGATCGTCGAGGCCGATGACTTCCTGGCCTTCCTGCACTCAGAAGCTGTCAACACGGCTAAGCATGACCGTAGTGAACAATACATGTATACATAGATACACATAAATAAAAGTACATACAACTTAGGGTTTAGTTTAGGCTGCTGTGTTGTTGTTGAGGTTTAGGGTTCAGGGGCCACTGCTTAATACATATGGGCAACACGAATACTCACATGCTGCATGCTCATGTCCATAAGGGTATTTCGATCAAGAAGCCTGGACAGTCACAGCAAAGGCAAAGGTGGCTATGCGAGAACAAGGATGTGAGACAACAACACTTCCACATGGTAGTTCCACAGGAAGATGTACCGTACACGTGCGTAAGCACATGGTAGGTACGTGCTCGAATTACCAACACATGGCACTGCATTTGTCTATGATACATACGCTGCGGTACATCACTCACATCGCTTTAGCATCTTTTAACTTAACACTGGCATGAACGTTCACCTGAACATCGACTCTGACAATAACACCGGCATAAACACCAAAACTACCACATACAAGCATCAGCCTTAGCAGAGGCGCCATAATTACAATACATTACTGCTCATGACGATATTGCAGTATTGCACCATTACATTATCAATTCTTTACACTAATAGTTCATTACATCATTACATACAAATTTCACCATCGCCTAATTGCAATGATCCGTTGCTACATTACTACTTTCTTACATTAGTCCTTACATTCTTACAATCGTGCTATGCTGCTTGCTTCCATCATTGCACTATTGCCCTTTACTACACTACTGCATAATGTTTCAGTATTGCACTGAAACACGATACATCAACACTTTGCTACAACATCACAGTAAGGCATTGAAACATTGAAGTATCAGTTCGTTTATCAACACGAAAGAGACTAATACAACAACACATCGAACTACATCATGCACACAAAGCCTGCATGCATGCATACATGCAGAACTAAATCAACATACATATTGGTATGCCTACATACATACATGCATGCAGACAGACAGACCGATAGACAGAAAAGTCTACACACACCGTACACACACACACACATATTCAACACATACAAGCAATTACATGACGTATGCACACCGTAGCATGTAGAATCCTGCAACCATTCGCGCCCTCTTCGAATCTGCAAAAATCAACCAATTTCTGGACCTCAGCATCTGAAACCTACACCTGCAACGAAACATCGACGTGAACGGACTAGGTCAAGGTCTCATGATCACGGAAGGCCCGGGTCCGTGTTGATTTCACGGAAGACTTCGCGCAAAGCCTCCACTTGCGCCTGTTCCGTCGAGCGTCATGTACGTTGCACATGCTGCGGAGTGCGAGCACTGCAAGCGGACCCATCGAACAACATATAATGGCAATGGCTTGAACTTAATATGTGTATATATATATATATATCTTAGCTCAAAGACTCTAACAACAAGATCGAGCGTCATGGTCGCATTCATTTCAACAAACAAAACGGCTATTCAAGCCAACAGCAGTGATAGGAATAAGAACGAATGACGCAGCAAGAAGTTATAATCACAAAAATGACAACACCAAAAGTGACCTACTACTGTGCGACTGCTGGGCACCTCGTGCTTCTGCATCTGCTGCATGGTCGCGATGTCCTTCCGTGCACAAGCCAGGAAGCAGCAACCGAGCCGAAAGATGGAGTCGCATTGGGCTTCGAGCACACTTTACCTTCTGAGTGGAAATGTTCGTCCCGTGCATACTCCAGAAAGCTTCTCGCTAGTACCGATGCTCTCACTCCGGCTTTGGTAAACTCCAAACCGGCTACAAATCGACAAGTAGTTTACTTGACACACCCGGCCCAAACAAGCAACTGCCGCCCTTGGCAACTGCAGTCCTTGTCTGCTCTCGCACTTTCTATCGCCATATTGCAGAAAACTCCAGTTACCTGAATTTTTGCGATTTCTGGGCGCTCAGATCGCAGCAATGTTGCAAAGCCAGGTGAGCGTCCGAAGTTAAGTCAAGCCTGTGCTCGAAACAGGAACGATGCTATTGAAACTGGCACCACTGTCACTATACTTGAAACCCATGAAGCGCATGGAAACGCAGTCGGCTGTGGGATGCCGAAATCACTACTGTGGTCAGAACAAATGAGGTGCACGCCCCCCCCTCCCCCGTCGAGCACGTCATAACATCTGAGGCCAACACAACATTGAGCACGGCTAGAACCGTAATGACCTGAGCTCGATGTCCAAAGGAGTGTTGCAGATCGATACAAACAAGAGTGACACAATCCAGCCAATCTGCATAAAATGGTGATGAGCTGGCTCATGCTCGGGTCCAGGCTTCTGTGTACATTTTTGTTGGTTTCTTCCGTGCATTTTTTGGTTTCGGTTCGATCCATATAACAAACTTGCAAGAGTCACAGAAATGACTCCACTCCGCTCACCTTTTCGTCCAGATTGCAGGTCCAAAGCTGCGAAGTGACCCAGGAGCTTAAGCTGCTGAGGAAAGTAGCGACTGTACGTGTACACGTGCCCCTGATGCGCACAAGTATTCGTGAAGCATCGACACCCCATCCAGCTCAAGCCGGGTGGAGCGGGCGGGAAAAGCTTGAGCATGCAAGTAGCATGCGGCCGTAGACAGGCTCACTTGTTCACTTCAAGAACGTTCAAGAACATCAATGACTCCACTCCGCTCACCTTTTCGTCCAGATTGCAGGTCCAAAGCTGCGAAGTGACCCAGGAGCTTAAGCTGCTGAGGAAAGTAGCGACTGTACGTGTACACGTGCCCCTGATGCGCACAAGTATTCGTGAAGCATCGACACCCAATACAGTAGCATAGATGCCCCCATTACTGCTTGCTCCCTGGCATAACATGCCGACCAAACTCATCACAAATGGCACGAATGTGGACATTGTAAAAGCAAATTGCTAAAGTCCGGCAGAGCCGCTTCGGGTATGCCTCTGCAACCTGAGTGAGCCACAGGCCTTGCGAGTTCTGCCCTGCAAGGGGGACGTGAGGGCGTCCCGTGCGTTGACAAAGCCCACGGCGGCTGCTGTGGCAACAAAAAGTGTTCAGAGCCTCGAGATTCACATGAGCAGCAAGGAAGATGGTAGGCTTTTTCCAAGGTGTGCCGAACATACAATAATCGAGCCGATGTTGAAAGACAAAGCGCCGCCGCATGAGCTGTCGCATAGGCGGGCACAACCAGAGCCTGGAGGTCATCGGATTTTCCAGAGTGCAGGGAACGTGTAGGGTGACGCAGAGTCCGAAAAAACGAGCTGAAAAGCGCATGAGGACGTTGCCAATGTGCACCTTGCGCTGGTCGGAATCACTGAGTCCTGGCAGCCCGAACGGAAACAAGTCACTGCGGAGTGGCGGCGGGCCTGGCCTGCATGACATCCCTGGCACGAGAGAAGGACAGGCAGGGAGTGCCTAAGTGCACACCACAGAACCTGTTGGAGCGCAGCCACCCGAAAAGCTTGCACTGATTTTTCTGCAGGAGCAAATCATACTCTGCACCGAGGTCAATGTCCCACAAAAGAGTAGGCCATCCCGTGTGCGTAAGCACAGCTCGGGCCAGGCGACCGGAGCCGCTGAAAATCTCGATGAACACCTTCGGATCAGGAAGAGCCCGCATCAGCGCAGGCTGTGGAGAGTGTTTTTCAAACTCTTGGCCGCTTGCGTAGCTTGACGCCGCGTTTCGGGACTGAGGCTTGCGAACAGCTGCGCCAACCGTCCTCCTTTCTGGTAGCGACGAACGCTGTTCTGACTTTTCCAGCGCCCGCGCTGCTGAATCGAGGCGAGGTCGCGAAACTTGTTGTTGTAGTCGTAGCTGGCTCCCCCATGGCGAAGACGATATAGGTGAAGATGCCCTAGTGGTTGCAAGTCCAGCTTCTCCCGCGCGTGCTCCATGAAGTCGTTGATGGCCTTGCTCTCCAATCGAAAGATCGGTTGATCCTTGGAGAGACGAGCCAGGTGGAGGCATCGAAACAACGCCTCGCCCAGCCCCTGGTGGTACTTCAGGTCCAGCTGCAGAGTCTCGTCGAACTCTTGCGTTTTTGAAGGGATGCCCTCTTCCAGTGGGTTGAGCACGAACTGCCAGTAGCTGGCGGTTCCGCGTTTTTGCACCGGCTTGATCACATCCATCTTGCGGAGCCTCAGCCCCTCTGAGGGGCGGAGGTACAGGCTGAACGCGAGGAGCATGAAGAGCCCGATCGGAATCAAGCCCTCTTGGAAAGCCAAAAGCGCCATCAATGCTACCGCCTCGAAGGGAAGTGGCAGCCGAGCCTGCGGTGGAGCTAGTTTTCGCCAACCTTGCAGCGCTTGCTTCACTCGGGGCATCACCAGCCCTGACGGTGATTTCAGAAAAGGGTTGAAGAAGATCACCGCCGCAATCAGGTACTGCCCGCTGGCCAAATTGTTTCCGTCCAGGAACAGCTCTTCCAACTGCTGGCAGAGAATGGACTCCACAGCGGGGAGATCCTTGAGAACTCCCGGGCGGATGCAAAGCATTGAGGCTACACCGTCCCACAGACGCTGGTATCGAGCGCGACACGCCGGCGAAACCGCCGCCGTCTCGAGCCGAGTCTGATGCGCCGCAGGTGCCGGGAGGGATGCCAGTTTTGTCTGGCGTCGGGCTTTTTTGGCCTCCTGGGTTTCCATCTCTGGCACTCCTTTCACATTGACGGCTGGCGGAGCCATCTGGGTCAATCCACGTTTCTTGGACTTCTGCAGCCCCGCAGTCACATTCTTGGGAAGTGTCAGTGGGCTCAGCGGCTCTCGATAAAACATGCTCCCCACCACACTTAGGCACACTAGGAGTCCAATCACCACGACTCGGACCATCGGCGGGGTTGAACTCGGAAGGAATCCAACGTAGATACAACTGTATTCCGGATGCAAAACTGTAAGCAGCTATCTGAGAACAGACTCGTCTAAGCTGGAAAGTGCTGGATCTGCCTCGAGTGATGGCCAGAGCTCCGGTCATGCTGTCAGTAAACACAAGGTGCTTCTTCCCAAAACCACTCAAACTGCGAGCAGCATGCTTCAAAGCAAAGAGTGAGGCTCGGGCTTCACCGACAGGTAACGTGGGAATTCGATGCCACCTGTGACACCCAACAGTGAGCCATTCACGATCAAGAGCTTTAAGAGGAACAGCCTCGAAGTCAAAAGGATGCCCATGGTCCTCCGGGGCGTTCTCACCACCCTGCTGAAAAACATTGGCACGTGCGCTCTTGAGGTGATCACCCGCCTCGGAAGCTGAGAAGCGCCACCTCTCACTGTGCCGGCCAAGTTTGCGAACCTCACTCAAAGGCATACGGCATGTCATAGCTCCCAAGCCCCAGAAACTCGCATCCACTGCGGTGACTTGTTGGGACCAAGGAGAGCGCAGATCTCGGAAGATAAGGGGAGCGATGGAGTCCCACAGGTGGAGCTCCTTCCGCACGCCCGGCGGCAGGCGAAGTTCCCTGTCACAATCGCGACGCTTAGCAATAAATTGGTACACATCGCCCAAGACAGACAAGCTCTCCCTGCGCGCCAGACAGATGAAGGTGCAGAGCCCGACCAGCCGCTCAATCTGTTTGCCCGAGGCCCGTCGCCTCGAAAGCAATCCTCTGATGGCCAATCGAGCTCTCCACAGTCTCCGAGGAGTGGGCCGAAAGATCCCGGATGCCTCGAATTCCCAACCTAGGACACATGCTCCCCCTTCACAAATCTCCTCCTCGTGCACTTGTAGGCCGGCGGCTTTCAAGTGCCCGACGGCATGTTGGAATGCACTGACCACCGCATCTCGATCCTGCCCCAGCACGACAAGGTTGTCGACATACTGGGTATGCGCAAGGGATGAGCTGGGACACGGGCGACCATCACGAAGTCGCTGATCTTCAGAGAGCCCACAAGTTGCTCGTGCAGATTCTGGCATATAAAAAGGGCCCATGACCACCCCATCGGGACGACCGAGAGCCGCGGGAACACCTTGAGCCCCGCACGCACCGGGCTTCCGTCCGAAAGGTGAAGTCCTTTCAAATGCCGTCCATCAATGGGTGGAAGCACAAAGAATTTGCGAAGGGACTCCGGAAGCTCCAAATGGTAGAAAGCGTCTTTAAGATCAGCCTGGCACACAGTCAAGTCCTCGCCCTCGTCGAGCTCGAGCCGGGAGAGACCATCGCCTGTGCTAAGTTGTACAAGGTCAGGATCACGAAAGTGCTGATTACTCCGTCGCGCGTCCACAATCATGCGCAGCTTCCCATTCTTTTTGCTCACGAAGAACAAAGAGATGTGCTCAGTCCCAGGCTCGTGGCTGAAGTCCACCAAGTTGGAGCGAGCAAGCCTGTCAAGAAAAGCTCCGTAAACCTTCGGATCACGAAGCTTAGGGTCAGTGTACGGGTATTTGACGCCACAAGCCTCCACCCTTGCAGAAGCTAACTCTGGCGGCAGCAATTGTTGCTGTACGTAGTCTCCAACAGATAATCCCCCGTCGCGGCCCCCAAAAGAAGCTAAAGAGATCGGCTTCCATCCTTCATCAGGCAAGGAGACCCCTTCGGGATAAAAGGAGGCAAGGGCACCCGTCGCCTGGACATCATCGACATAGCCCCCACACCGAAGCTGCCGTAGCGCTTCTGGCACTGTAACGTCACCTGGGGGCGGTCCCAGGTGATCAACTGCAGTCTGTATCCGCAGCATAGCCTCAGCCTGTGCAGCCGAGGCGCGACAAGAAGGAAAAGAATGGATTGGCCCAGCATCGTTTTTCGAGCCAGGGTTGTTCAAGTAATTAAGTGCCCGAATGGCGGAATTGCAATCCTCGACCCGCCGTTCCCTGCGAAGCCAACGCTGCCGACAACCACGAGATAAATCGCATCTAGGCAGGTCCTGGCTTCCAAGGAGAGGCAAGGGCAGAAGATCACGGGCCACCCGGGGAGTGGCATGCAAGGGGCCAGGTTCCAAGGCAGCGAAGGGCCCCACTTCGCTGCCCATCTCGACCTCAATTGTCATCGCGGCCAGCGCCTTTCTTCTTGCGGGCCAGCTCACGTTCCTCCCTGGCTTTGCGCAAGTTCTTAGACAAACTGGCCTCTCTTTCGGTTTCGCTCTTCACGTACTCCAAGAGAGCGGGACACACCATCAAGGTCCCCGCCTGGCGGGTGAGACCTCCGAACACCTGCTGCTCCTCCAACGACAATCGGCCCCCGACCGCCTTTGCCTCAGACTCCCTAGCCTTCTCGCCATATGCAAACTCAATGGTCTGAATTCGCCGAAAGATAACTTCCAAGCAAAGCAAGTTTGGCCCGTTCAGCTGATCAATCTGCAAGGCGTGCTTGGCAACCATCGAAAGCTGAAAGTGCTCTTGAATACCCCAGGCAGAAGCGTCAACCCGACACAAAGTCCGGAACCTTTCATGGTGCCCTTCTAGTCCGAGCCCCTCTGTCACGAGATATCCAAGACACCACTTGGTAGTCCGAGGCCCGGTGAGGGACCAGCCGACCGTAGACTCGACCGAGCGAGACGCCGAATCTTTCAAGCTTTGCTCGGGCTGATCAAGGCTGTTGAGCTGAATGGAACATGTGCGCAGATCCCACCCGCCTGGCCTGCGAAGGAAGCTATCCCGATTGCGACCCAAGCAACACTCCAAGAAGATGGCGGTTCCTCCGGGGAGCTGGTGTACGATCTTAGTGCCATCGGCAGCGGCCGCTAAAACATTAGGCACCGGATCACCATATGAAAAGCCAGCAGCAGATTCAGCAGCCAACCAATAGAGTGTCTCCGGATCAAAGGCCATAGCAGCGGACGCTCCGAGAGCTGCAGCCGCAGCTGCTGCCGGAACCGCTCCCGCAACGGCAGGAGCTACTCCACCCGCCGGTCCAACCCCGGCGCCAGGAGGAGCCACACCGGCACCAACGCCAAGCTCCTCGGCGATCTGCCTAGCTCCCTCGACCTGAAAGGCAGCCAGCTGTGCAGGAGTGAAGGCTGGGAGCGCATGTATCTGACTGGCCCGCACGCCCAAAGGTCGCCCCCCACCGGGGGCACCGATTCGGATCGCCCGCAAGTCACTGTTGGAAAGACTGATCTCTTCAATGTACACATCCGGCGTCACAATGGCATATTCCTCGCCACGGCAATGCGCCAAAAGCAATCTCTCGTGCCAAAGGACTTGTCCAGGAACATCGTACTGCAAGAAAACCCTTCTATTGACCAATGCCATGCCGTCGGCTCCTGATCAGGGCCAGCTGCCTGTGAGCCAGAACTCTGCGCTCCTCTGGGGAGCTGTCTCCTGAATCCTCCAATTCCCCTGCAGGTGCTGGGCAACGCTGTCGACAGCAAGGACGCCAGCAAACCCCAAAGATCCACAAGAGAAGGTTAGCAACAGCATTGATAATCAAGAGGATGGCCCAGCCCCACGACAAGTCAGGCACGGGAAGATTCCTCGCAGCCCGAGACTCTTCGTCTTCAGCAGGTCCCTTGATCCCTTCGCACCGACAGAGCTCCCGTTGGGTCTCAAGAACGGCTTGTCGACCCACCTCACGATACGAATGCTTAAGGGTATCCTGCCGGAACTGCCGACCCGAAAGGACGCTGCCACTCAGGTAGCCTCCAAGGAAAGACGAAGCCTGCCAGCCGAGGAATGCTAGAAGCGCACCCCGGCTTCCCATTGCGAGCCCCTATCTCACCTTAAAAGCTTGAGCATGCAAGTAGCATGCGGCCGTAGACAGGCTCACTTGTTCACTTCAAGAACGTTCAAGAACATCAATGGCGGGAACGGAGGCTTTTTCGCGAAGTTTTTTTGGTGTACACGTATGGTTTTCGGCCTACTGGTCTTCGACCTTCGGTCGATCACTCAGTCTGTAGATCCGTCGGTCTGGCCCCACCAGTCTACCCGGTTGCCTTCCGTGCCAGTTCATGCTCTGGGCGTCTCGGTTTTATGGCACGATGTTCTCTAAAGCAAGCTGCCACGGCCCCCAAAAAACGAAGCGGGGGGGTCGGGCCCCTAGGACGGGATGTTGAAAAGTTTGAACCCCGAAAGTCTGCAGCATGACCTCGCTCACGCTCCAAGCCACACGTGGACTCACCTTAACCAGGCCAAAACTGCATGCCTGCCGGTAGCTCCGGTATGCGTGCAGCACCCTGGGAAGCCCAGGCCTACACGACCGCCCCAACTGAGCACTCGCATCGGACCCCCGAGATCCAAAGGTTGGCTTGATGTGTTCGAGAAACGACTCCGCGATGCTGTCGCAGCTGACCACCCGGTAACCATCTTTTGTTTTCTTCGCCAGACCTCCGCCTCGGGCCGCCTGCTGCCGCGACAACGTTCTCTGTGCTCCTTTGCCGAGCTCCTGAAGCTCCAGAACAGGACATGTCGGGCTGAGCTGTTGCCATTTCCACGGTGCTTCTCGGCTTTGGGAATGATGCAATGATGCCCCTGTTTGTGCGTCAAAAGCAAAAGATGTCGGGCGGAGCTCTTGCCGTTTGCTGGTTTTATTTTTTTCATGTTTCTTGGCTTTGTGGATGACACCTCTGTTTGCGTGTCGAAGGTTAATTATGGGTTATGGCATGAAGTTCAGTGTTTTGAGTTGTCACTGCTTCATGCTGCGTACTCTGGTCAGTCAGTGACTTTTCTCGAAACATTACACAGGCCCCCTCCCCTCGATACGTTCCGTCTGCGGTCCGGCGCCGGAAGCTTGAAAGGTCCATGACTGCAGTATTCCCGTTCCTTACTGCGCCCTTCAGGCCTATGTTCCTCTCTGAGTCTGCTTACCGAACGTCGCTCGCAATTTTTGCCGTTATTTTACGATTGCCACCTGTTGACAAGTATATGTGTCTGAGCCATTACACAAGTATACACCAACTCGACCCTGTACCTGCCTAAAACATTATAGCTTAAACTGATGCTGCAAACCTCAGAAACGCTTTCCCGGCTAGTGGCTAGCATCACGAAAGCTCCCACAAGATCGAGCAGACAGGAAAGCTGCGAATGGTGCTTCAAAGCGCTTCTGGCAACAGCAACTCGACGCACAGTTTGTGTGCAGAGCTGGCCAATAAACAACGACTCCAACAAGGGAGCCCGAGACTGGGGTTTCGGTGTACTCCAGACATCATCTATGAATCGAAGGCACATTGCACAATGCCACAGCAGAAGACGAAATCCAGTCTTGCCATAAGCCGCATCTGAGGCGTTCTTGCTTGCCACTCGAATTTAAATCTTCAAAAACATCTGTGTTCAATCCTGAAGCCGCGCAGACGCTCACGGCAAAAGTCTGCTTTCTGACGGAAAGACCTGGCCTCATCAGTAAGGCTTTTGACAAAGTCCCAAAGTATGTGGAGGCTCCTCCAACATGACAGCAGCCAAAACTGGGAACTCTAGGATTTGCAAATAGTCTAGGAACGGCTTCCGGCTATACTGAAAACATCATCCACACGCCCAAGCCGCATTTTGCGCGAAAAGCAACACTTGGAATACAAACGTGGTCCTCACTGCTGTGAAAAGAGATCGAACCGGGAGTGAAACTTTGCTATTTGCAACAAGTTTGATCGTGAAGGTACCGGCGATCTTTGCAAGTTTCAGAGCCCGCATTGGCCACGCTGGGCCCAACAACATTGGCTGGCAACTTGCAGCAACAAGGCGAGCGCTCTTTGGCTGAGGCGAAACCCACTGCCGAATTTTTTCCATTCAGCAGTGGGTGCATGCACTGCTCCAACGCAACGCTTGTGGGCTGCCCTGATTTCCTGCCTTGGCGTCCCGTCCATTTTGTGTTTGTCTGCATGTAGTGCACGTAATGGCTTGTCTTCAGAGGCGGAAAGCATCATGGCTGTCATGGCTGGTCATCACCGTGTTCTCTTCATAGCACACCGATCTTTCCCCTTTTATTGAGTGCAATGATTCAACGGGACACATCAATGTGTCTCTTCAGCTCGTGCAAGTCCCTTCAATGCTGGTCCCACCACCACCTTAAAATGCATACTAGTAGCTCACACAGCTAGCATCAACCTATGCGATGTGATGCTGATGTCAGAACATGAGCATCAGCCGAAGTTTGATGCATACGCATGCGATCGAGTGTCATCTTTTTGATGCAAAGAAAAAAACGAAACAAAGTGACAGATCGTGATGCAGCTACTCTTGAGCCTCAACCTATGAGTTGCTATATAATTCCATATGAACCGTAGCCGGGTGGCGATGTAGATGAGGAGTCCGACAACGGCGATGTCGGAGATTTGTCGGAGAGGCTGTAAAGCCTGGATCAATCTCAAACGGCATAGCACGCTTAAGACGGGGACTGAAATTGTGTAAGGGGAAGCTCGCTCTGTTGCGGACAAGCGCTGCACGATCATAAGATAGCGACCGTAGAAGGGGACAGCAGCAACTACTTCGGCATACCACAGCTTTTGGGGCCGGTCAGTGGGAGGATTCAGGAAGTCAACCATGAATGCTGTCTGGATGTTTCAGGCAGATTCAGGCTGCTTCACGGCAAGATGGGTGGCCTTGCTTCAACCTGTCCACTGAGAACTTCTCACGCCAACTAGTGACTCGAGGCCTGGGGTTTCAATCAATACGCTCCTACCGTGTGCTTCTGGAGCGACAAGAGAGGAGCCCGGTCGCTACACTGTCCAGGGATCCCTGCCTCATCCCAGCTGATGCCGTTGGTGATGGATAGGAACAGTGTCAGCATGCTCTGTGGAACACTGGACCAAAATCCTGACAGCCAGGGGCTTTGGCAAGGGGTCGCACAAGAAAACTTCAACAACCCAGAGCCACCTAGAGAAACACTCCGGATACTAGGGCTTCGGGCTTGGATAGGATTTCAAGCATAAGAGAAAGCAATGATTCTTTCCAACATCCTGCCTTCACAGGCAGACAGAGTCAAAAGAGCACAACCCTACACTACAAACACCGGCAGTCATTGCCGTCCATGTTTTCCCGGGCTTGGCTTCCGCATGATGCTCTCCGGTTGCACTTATCTAAGCGGCAACGTGCATACGTTACCGGATGCCAACCCTGTGGTGCTGATCCTGGTATCCAAACACAATATCTCTTACTCATTGCGGTTTTGAAGCCAGCTGCTGGGTTTTGCCTGCTCGCCAGCTTTTGATTGCCCGGAGGCTTCAGCAAACCAGAGGTGGTGACAAGAAACTCTGTGGCAGCTTGCGTGGGTCTCGCCTTATATGAAATGAGAACTCGTAATTAATGAGGCGATTGTGCCATTAAACACTGATGTCTCGAAGCATCAGCAAAGGCACGGCTCAACTGATCGTCGCAGAACTCACCGGTGGTGTACTTCAGATCTCTGCAGTGGTCCGTGGATATCTGCGTGAGCAAGACCCCAAACAGATAGAACAGGACCACCTCACAGAGAGCATCGGAACCAAGCGAGCTCAGACTGCGAACTGACCTATCCAACTAAGCCTGGACATATCAATTGCGGTCGGAGAGTAATCTGTATATACGCGTGCCAGATGTGCATGCAGGTGAAACTCCAAAATGATATCCCAGATGGGTACGACTAGGCTTGCATGGTATCACGCTCGGCCGGAGTGGAAATGTTCTCCTTACGTGGACACAGTTTTGATGCTGTGCTTGCTGCCCCACCAGAAGCAAGGAGGTCCATCCAACCGAGCTCATCGTGCTTACGATGGAGAAGACGATGGTTCTGAGAGCGCTGAGATACCTCGGCACAGGGTGCGGCTGGAATACAGCCCTGAGAAACGACTCACGACAGCCTGGGAAACCCTGCTAAAATTACCGCCACGTAGTTTCAGCAGGCTCGTTGGGTCGACCTGTACACGTCCGACTCATTACACACGGACAATCAGCCAAAACATGCTGTAGCACGGAAAGCCCAAAAGGCAGGATCTGAATGCCTGCGAAGTTCCTTCCTAGCCACCAGAGCCCGCCGTAATCGTCCAGACCCTGATCTTCAGTGCCCAGAAGACCTTGAATCACAAAGCCCCAAGACCCCAGGACCCCGACCTCGAGGGCTTCCAGCATCCCCCCAGTAAACGCAATGACAAGGTAGCTCGCAACCTCGAAACCCTATACTCGACTCGAAGACCTCGCACCGTAAACCCCTTCATCCTCAACCGCCTTCGGAACCCGACACCCGGAGCACAGAACTCTCCACTTCCAGCCAGCCGCTGAAGAAGCCGCACGACACGAACTCCGCGTAGCGCCCGCACGAAGCGAAGAAATCCTCGTTGTCGGTAATACTAAGACTGTGCCATATATATATATATATATATATATGTATACATATGTATACATTAGACTACTATGCATGTCTATGTATGTGTGTATAAATAAATACATAAATAAATATATATATATATATATATATACACACACTGATGCAGTATACACATTGATGCAGTATACACAGTGATATCTGCATCAACATCTTGTTTCGATACTTATTTATACCTATATTGCTACATCTAAAGAACTCTATGTAGGTACTTATGTTCTTGCCTTGTTAAACAAGGTGTGCGTGTGTGTGTGTGCATATATATATATATATGTACATATATATATATGTGTATATATACATATATATATATATATATGTATATACAGAGAGAAATATGTAAAGAGAGAGAGAGAGAGAGAGAGAGAGAGAGAGAGAGAGAGAGAGAGAGAGGGAGAGAGAGAGAGAGAGAGAGAGAGAGAGAAAGAGAGAGAGAGAGAGAGCGGGAAAGGTGGACGTGTATATACGCATTCATGTACAAATGGACACGTACACACTACATGATAATATAAACAAGAGCGAACCACAGCATGACACTATACTATGCATGTATATGTATGTGTAGATGTAGGCGTAGGTGTATGTGTGTGTATGTATGTACGTACGCATGTATGTATGTGTTCTATGTATACATATGTAGCTCATATGAGTCTATATATATATACATATATATACATATATATGCATATATACATATATACTTATATAATATACATATATATATATATATATTTATTAATCTTTTTTTGGGGTGTCTTACCGTTCATCTTAAGATAAGTTCTTGGTACGCAACTTGGGCCACTTCTGTCACATGCTCTTAAAAGTTCCGCTCAAATGCTTTCACATGAGGTCTTGGCTCTCATGGCCGTTTGTCATCATCTGTTGCTGCAACTTAGAAAGTCTCTGCCGACTGTTGTGAGCCGCTCCTGAATTAAGCATCTGACGAAACTGTTGCAGGATGTTTCGAGGGACTCCGTTGACTTTAGCCTTGTGTATTCGAGAAGACCTGCGTGCAAATGGGGGGATTGAGGCTTCGGCATTTCTGGGGGGCTGCCCCATCCAAAGCAGGCCGGGACACGCATCATGCGGAGTTGGCTGGGATCCATCTCCGAAGCAAACCTCAGGCTGCATCAGCATCGGCTTGACTGTACACGGATCTCGGCGGTAGGTCCAAACAGACGGACTGACCCACCGACCGACCGACCGACCGACCGACGGACAGACAAACAGATACAACAAAAGTGCAAGCATGCATGCAAGCATGTGTCCATCCATCCGTCCATCCATGCATCCATCCATCCGTCCATACAAACTTGCGGCGGAGGGACTGGGACGAAAGCTAGAAGCGTCAACAACCGAGGCTTTTCCAGTGAAGGCAAGCATGCATACACGCCTACTGAACTTCCAACTACAGAAACCCAAACTCTTGAACCCCTCGAATGAGCACCAAGACCATCCCCCTCAATGTGGGTGACACCCACTGGGCCAAGCCATGCTCTGCTTGCGTTTCTTGTTCGTCGAAATGCAGCTGCTACTACATATGACTGTATAGTCGAGTACTAGTGTAGTATGAAATGGTAGAAAAACAGTATATGGAAGAGGTTGGATCAGAGCTTCATGCACATATATATATATATATATGTACATATACACAAACATACCACAACTTACTCCCCCAATAGCCACAGAAATAAAAGGTTAAACTTTCAGATTACTACTAAACTGTAAGAACCCCGAAAGTTTAAAAGTTTTGTATTGGAGAACTAAGACAAACACATGTGTATATCATGCCTAGAAGCCAATGGCTTCAGGTCGGGCGCCCAACATAGAACAAGTACGCGATGCGTGAGCGGAGCTAGCAAGCCACATCGTGAACATCATTGGGGGCCTCTTGTATCCCAATCCGAGCCAACAAGCGCGGAAACAGTAGAAAAACAGTATATGGAAGAGGTTGGATCAGAGCTTCATGCACACGTATATTTATACATATATATATATATATATATGTACATATACACAAACATACCATAAACACATGTGTATATCATGCCTAGATGCCAATGTCTTCAGGTCGGGCGCCCAACATAGAACAAGTAGGCGACGCGTGAGCATCATGAGCTGCAAGCATCATAAGCATCGGAGCCAGCAAGCCAGCAGCAAAGTAAAGTGCTGCTGAGAGCTCTTCAGGAAACGGCGAACATTAGGATGCCCACGAGATACGGGTCGCTTCAGCTTCTGTTTAAAGAGGTTGGAGCAGAGCTGCATATGCACAAACATACCATAAATACATGTATATATCATGCCTAGAAGCCAATGGCCTCGGGTCGGGCGCCCCAGGTAGAACAAGTACACGACATCACAAGCATCGTTGGGAATGTCGTGGGTCCCTATCGGAGCTAGCAAGCGCACATCGCGAACATCATTGGAGGCCTCTTGGAGCCCAATCCGAGCCAACAAGCCCGCATCACGAGCATCATTGGGAGCTTCTTGGGGCCAACAAACGCGCATCATGAGCATCATCGGGGAGCCGTTTTTCCACTCGGAAGCAGTGCGAAGCACCACATTCAAACACCTCAAAACGGACCCGGCGGGGGAAGGCCGAAAACCAGCACCAGGTGGGGGATAGCCCCAAATACGCGCAAAAAATGCCCACCTGGCCGGGGGCCCTTCCCCACACCCCTAGATGCAACCTTTCGGTTGGTAAGGAACTCAGCTAGCCACGGAAGCTAGCTTTCGTGACATGCCTTTACATGAAACTCAACCAGACATACATACCTACATAAGTAAGTACGTACATCCATCCGGCCATTCATCGATCCATGCATTCAGGCACGAACATGTGTGTGTGTGTGTGTGTGTGTGTGTATATATATATATATATATATATATAATGCTGGGCTGCCACACCCCCCAATGGTATCCTCTCCCCTTCCCCCCGCCCCCCCTGAGGTGTGGGGCCTGTGGTGGTACTCTTTTTGCCGCGCCGTTGTTACGTGTTACTCCTTGTCTTACTGCTCATGATGTTGTGCTGCTCTAGACCGGGACATGGGTCGACGATCAGACCACGCTCAACATCATCCTTGTCGTCGTCATCTTCATCATTAGTTCCATCAAAAGAATATCTGCCACCATCACCATCGCCATACAACCCTCATAATTCAGCAGTGCAATTCATGTCTGATGCTAGAAACTATAAACTACTGCGCCGATTCCCGCTTTGCGCACACGGCAGGGCATAGCGCAACACCCCCGATCCGCGCACAAGGTGAAGGGCGAGCAGGTCGGGCCGGGGGCGGGCAGGGCAGCATAGCAGCATGGGGGGTTGGGATACCATTGGGGGGGCGGGGGTGGACCCGAGAGCAGAAAAGAGGCAGGGCTGCCACACCCTCCCTCACCCCCCCCACCCCATGGTATCCTCCCCCCTTCCCCCCCGCCCCCCCTGTGGTGTGGGGCCTGTGGTGGTACTTGTTTTGCCGCGATGTTCTTATATGTTACTCCTTGTCTTCCCTCTTGCTGTGGCACCGGTGATACTGCTCATGATGTTGTGCTGCTCTAGACCGGGACATGAGTCGACAATCAGACCATGCTCAACATCATCCTTGTCGTCGTCATCATCATTAATACCTTCAACAGAATATCTGCACCATCACCATCGCCATACAACCCTGATATAATTCAGCATTGCAATTCATGTCAGATGCTAGAAACTACTGAGCCGATTGCCGCTTTCCGCACACGGCAGGGCATAGTGCCACACTCCCGATCCGCGCACAAGGTCAGGCGTGCAGCAGGAGGGGAGGGGTGGGGGGGGATACCATTGGGGGGGGGGGGGGGGGGGGGGGTGGCGGCACAGGACCCGAGAGCATATATGTGTGTAAATAGACATATGGATGTTGTTCTAATTTAAAGGAGCCATGCTCAGGCATTAGGACAGAGCTTGCGTTCGCTGCGCGCGCAGGGGTTTTCACTCATGTCAACGTAATCACACACACACACACACACACATCATTCCGTCACACACACATGCAAACACACGCAGAGAGACATGTACAACCACAATGTACATATTCATGAATATAAAACGGAGAGATACATAGTTAAGTAGATAGCTAGATAGGTAGATAGATAGCCATACAGCTCCAGCTACACTGGCACGCATGCCTACACATCAAGATCCAACTCTCCAAACAAAACGTCCTCCTCGCCAGTGGAAGAAACTAGCACAGCCCTTCTCGACGTCATTCCTACACCTGCCAGCAGAGTACTGTAGTTTTGAGCTGCCGTCCCTTCTAGCATCCTTGCCATACTTTCCTGCTATGAGGTCGGACTCGTGAGGCCTATACTGTATACGGCAGTAAATCAAAGGGAAATCTGTATTGGAACAAACTTAGCTCCGGGCATCACGGATGCCACAGCTTCTGCGACGATCTCGAAGATGGACAGGCAGAAAATCAACAAATCCTTGCCGCTATGCAGCTGCACACTAGCATGGGATGCCACTTGGGTCTGGGCCGGGCTGGGACGACAAGACGCCTGCTTTCGGAGCCTGATGTGCAAGCCATGAGAAACCCCTCAATTGAATTGCATGTGCGCTCGCTGTTGACATGGCGACGTGAGGAATTCGCTTTACAACCGCAATGGTGCATGACACGCTGAAGCAGAATCCGTGACCGTGTTTGGCTCGACGACAAACAGCTTCTCACAAGAACACTCAACGCAGAAGGAATCTGCTCTTGAAGTAATAGTTCAGATCAAGCATCCGACCAATTCCACCACTTGTCGGGGCCACAGAACATCTCACTGCCTCGGACACATCATGAAGTCGATGACTCTACCGCCGAAGCTTTAGACGGTTTGGCCACTTCGATGTGTATAAGGTGTCGAGGAGTTGGGAATAACTTGCAGGATTTCGACTTGCGATGGAACTCTAGCATGCTGTGCGTTCAAGAAAGCATGGAGTCGTGTACCCTCGATGTCAAGGGCCCGTAAAATGCTCACGAAGAATTTTCCTGGAAGATCGCACGTCCACGCTCATGGAACCGCAATCCGGAAAAGAGTAAGTAAGCAATATAACCTGCAAAGCTGATGTTCCAGAGAACAACCTTGTCAAGTGACACTAATTAACAAACAAGCTACGAAAGAAACACAAGATTGACATCCCAGTGATACTCCCATAAACAGACTGTCGGCTCACCCTTGGGAAAACCTCCCTGACACTCCGGTTGGGGCAGATGAGCGCGACCAAGGCACAGCCGTAAGCCTTCACCTTAAGCAGAATTTCGAAGAAAAAGACGGACACGATGATCAAGTTCCTGCAGGTGTCGCAAGTATCTTTGAGCATCTGGTTCAAGGATGCTCTACCTCCCAGTGCCCAATGCTTGAAACCGAGCCCGCAAACGGACTTGAATTCTGATCTGTAGCACCAAACATCTGTGGAAGACAAGCAGCGCGGTGTAGAACCCTTCCAGATGTTCATTTGGAGGAAGGTCAGCTGAGGCATCCACCTGGATCTTCAACCGGGACTGGCATCCAAACTCTCTAGCATACCGACATTGGAGGGAAGCAGGGACATGGGGGTGGTTATATGGTCGGAGGGTACGGTCATTTGCAGCGAACCTATGTTGCGAAGTTCGCATGCGGGATGAGGGCCCGTGTCCCCTTCGAGTTCCAACGCTTCAACAACAGTGCATCGATATATGTATCTGTGACACGGAGAGATCTTACAGATGCTGAGATGGCCTCAAGACTCAAGACAGATGGCAAGACTCCCGACAAACATGACCCAGGGTTTACTTGCTTCGTGTCCTGAGGTCCTCGCTGAGGCTACCACGCCCTTTCTTCCCACAGCAGGGCCACTGTCATTTCGGGGCGCCTCCACTCCGAGCAGTATCAGGTTGGTGAGGATCACGACCGGAACACTTGCCTGGGCATGGGGTCTACGTTACTTCTGTAGGCTATCCAACTAGACTAGACACGGACATCCCTGGCACCGAGGATGGCGGAACCGTGAACAGAGCCGCCGAGGTTCAAATGGCAAGTGAAGCAGAAGATACTACTCAACACAACACGACCACAACCAAGACACCCCTGAAGTCCCCCTAAACCCTAAACCCTTAAGCCCCCCTAAACCCTAAACCCTTAAGTCCCCCCTAACCCCTAACCCCTGAAGCCCTCGGAGTCCCTGAAGGTACTTTTGAGGAATGGGGCACAATTATAACTATAACTTATAACTACGTTACTATTACTTCCATTCTTCCATTCTCTACTAGCCAAAGGTAGAAGCAAAGCCAAGGGACCCGAAACCAAGAGGACTGGACGATGCGCCGGGCCCAAGGCACCGGGGCCTCCGAGTCGAGCTCGCCATCTCGCCAGGGCGGCTCGGGCTCGGGGAATAGCTAGATTATCTATAGAATTATATATTTTATACATGTTACGTGATATAAGTTATATATATATATATATATATATATATATTACATTCTATACATATTATATATATATACACATATATATATACGTATGTATTGTGCATAATATCTTTTGTGGTTTGGTCTAAGCCAGATCGCAGGTGATGGATCGAAGGCAGCTGCTCGTACTACGAGGGCCTGGGCCTAGGCGGAAAACCTGTGTGGGTTCCCGAAGCCTGCGCCGGACAAGGATCCAAAAGACAGGCGTTATCATTGGTGCAGGACATCATGACGTTAGGCACATTGGGATTCTGTAGCGCTGGATGTAGCTTTACATGCCACATACCAGTCGCCAGTGTCAGCTTCGGCCGAAGCTGACTAAAGTTGGGCTTTTCATCGCTGGGGCGCCGGTTTCTGCCGTCCGTCTGGAAATGAAACTGCTTTGCTTGAAATCACCTGCTTCTGCAAAGTACCTATATGAAAGGCATCCGAACCTGCTTGCCGAGCCCATAGAGCACTACAGTGAAACGGCAAGGCATTCCAGCACGCGCTTAACTTTAGAGTGTAAGCCATCATCCAGAACAGTATGGATCGTGATGTTTCGCAAGGGCTCTTTATTACTGAGTCAATGAGAAGACTCGGCCCCAGAAACCAAAACTTCCTCTCCGGAGCCGCCGCGCCTAGCACGAAGGAGTTTCCACGGATGGCCGACAACTTCCGTGCTGCCTCCACGACCTGTGGACGGGACCGTGCGCTTCCTGCGCTGTCAACCTAATGCTGTTTAGCGTCTAGAGTTTAGGGAGGAAACATGCTGGGCTAATCATACAAGACAACAGGAGCGTGGACCGCCCGGCAGAAAAGCTGCTCGTTTTCGTCAGTGTGCAATTCGACTAGTCCTTGTTGATTCTATCGGTTGCTTCGGCCAAGACACCCCAGATACCATCGTGTGCATATATGCGTGCTGATATCCACCCTGTAGGCCGTAGACTTGCTGCGACACCTCTAATTTCAGTGTAATCGATCCCGGCATAGGTATCGCGCACACACCCAGCACCCGCAGGCGAAGCAGGGGCCTTCCGCCTGGAGTCCCGAAACTGCTTGTGCCTGAGCTCAGGGTGGCTTATCCGAAGCACCGAAGGCCCACTTACCACCCTCAGAAAGCAACTCTGGTAAGTTACCTTAGGTTTAGGTCGACATGTGGCATGCAATACATCACTTGATGCACAGATATATGGGGGGCTGACTTGACTGGAATGGCCTCCTCCCTGAAACCTTCCGCAGATAATTACGCAGCTGAATGCCCAAGCAGCTGCAAGGAGTTTTCTACCCTCAACCGCAGTTGGAGGAAGTCGTGTTCTGCTTTCATTTGTTGGTCCGACTCGAAGAAAAACCTGTGCTCTACGCCATCCTCCCCCAGAGCCGTAGAGAGACATCGACTGGTTCCCGTCTGGGCGGCTGGTAGATGGAATCCCAGCTGTTCATGCTCTCCGCAATGGACGAGCGCATGCTGACCATGTCGCTCTTGCGCGGGTTGACGTGGTCCTGCCCAACAAAATCAGCTGACGTGCGTCAGGGCCTTCGTCTCGTACACGTGGTCCAGAAATGCAAAATCGACGCATGTGACAGAGACGTCGTTACTTTGTACAGGGATGAGAGTGTGAATCTTGTAAGAGTCTAGCAAGACTAGGGCAGGCAGTGTCCACACGGATATACACGGATGGCGCCGGCTGGCCAAATGCTTCCTAACTGACCCGCTCCTCGTGGAACCCGCCTCTGTCCTCAGTTCGCGAAAAGGCAGACCATTTTGCAGATCGTTTTACTCCATGGGCCAAGTGCGAAGCCTCTTTCCGGGAGTCTCACAGCAATACCGATACCGTTTGTACAGACAGGCAAAGCACCCCTTCAGGCCCCCAAGCAGAACCCCAAACGACCGATCCCAAAAGGCCACAGAACTTAAAATGTAATCCCTATGCCTTCTCTCGCCTGCTGTGGGCAATCTCGTCAGAAAGGAGGCCTATGTCCCCAAACAATTTGGCACTGCACTCCGGTGCACTGACATGCTCCTCTGCAGGCGATGGCATACATACGTCCCAAATACGTCGGGGCAACATTCTTGAGGCCCCCAAAAAGAGATCACTACTATTATTACCAATATTATTACTATTATCATTACTACTATTACTACTATTACTAGTGTAGTTCGTCTCCAAAGGGCTCTCATCCTCGGCGGTGACGGCGAGGGAGGCCGAAGCGAGCCATGCGAGCCGAGCGGCCTGGGCTCGATTCGAAGCCGAGACGAAGGAGGCTCCTACTTGGAGGATCATGGGACTTAGTAAGGTTTAGGAATCCTTAAAAGGGATCCTTAAAGGGATCTATAGGGGTTCCTGAAAAGGGATCTATGGGGTTTAGGGTTTAGGGTCTACTTGGAGCATCATGGGACTTAGTAAGTAAGGTTATAAGTACCTTAATTGGGGTTATAAGTATCTACCTATAGGTCTCCATTGTAGTTCCTTTTTTTCGTTAACCAAAAACTCTATTATAGGATCCTAACCATAAAACTGGTTAACCAAAAAAAGGAACTACAATGGAGACTATAGGTATAGATTCGCCTTCCCTGCGCCCGCAGAGTCTTCCGCTTGAACTCCAAACCGACACTGACTCTGGTAATCGCCAGCAATACGGGCAGCAGCAACGCCAGGAAAACAGGCAAAGGAAACAGCTGAAATGCCTCAAACCACGACCGCTCCACGCGCTGCCTCCCTCCGGCCTGGACAGTTCTCCCTCCCATCGCTGAGGAGCGAGCGCATTGGTGCCAACGCGTTCCACCCTCGAGTGAGAATTACCATGGGGTTGTCGTTCAGGGTTGAGGGTAGCTTATTAGGAAGAAGGCGCGAATTGAGGTTGTTCGACATCGGGCTTCCGTCAAGTGTATAAAAGCTTGAGCTGATGTGCTTCGGCGGAGGAAAACATTCGCCATTGTACTACTTACCAGTCGTGCAGCTCAAGGCTCAGATGGTTGTGGACAGATGGATACATCCCACCGCTGCTGCCGGTGGTGGCGGCAGAGTCCTCAAGCTTCTGATCGGGGCTTCACGTCACACTTCGACACGACGCTACACAATCTAGAAACTCTTTATGCCACACCTTCGTGTTCAAACCAGTCAATGTCCGCAAACCCGAAACCCCAAGGTTGTGAGAGCAGCAGCAATACAGAAAGAAAGGCATTCGACCGCTCAGTACCTTCCTGATTGAACACATAGTTTGCAAGTTATCGCGCTTGGCGGCAGTACAGAGACCGTCAGGACCAGGACGTCGATGAGTAGTAGGAGTACCAGAAAAACGACAGGATGATGACTGTAATGGGTGACGCAGATGAATCTCGAGGAAGAACATTAGAAGCCGGCAAACTGTTCTTCACTGCTATGTGGAATAAGAATGTGATGGTCATGATGATGATCATGGCGATGATGAGATTATGATGATGATGATGGTGACGATGGTCGGATAGTGATGGTGTGATGATGTTTATGGGGGTGGTGGTGTGATGCTAGTGATCACGATCATGATTATGATGGAGATGAGGATGATGCTGCCGGTGATGCTCCCGAGGTGGCGGAGGAGTCCGTCGGCCGGCTTGAAGTCCCTACTGCTGGCTTCGTTTTATTTCAGGCTGCCGCTATGATGTCGCTACGGTATGCAGAAGGCTTGGGACCACAACAGGTTTCGGCGACCCTTGCAAATGTTGTGGCCCGGCTCCGAATTCTGGACTCGGACTTTGGCTTCAGCGGCCGCAAGTTCCATCCTGTCGCAGGTGTGCGCACAGTGACTAAGATCAAATCCCGCCTCAAAGCGCAGAACTGCTTTGGGCAGTTCAGTATCTGTATCACCATGCACGTTCTTGTTGTGATATGCTGATATGCTTCTTGCGGTAGTCGCAGCAGTGGTCATAGCACTAGTAGCAGCAGTAGAAGTAGCAAGAGCAGGAGCACGAGCAGGAGGAGCAGGTCGCAGTAGTGCTAGGAGCATTGGTATTTGTAGTCGTCGCCAGCGAAGCAGCGGCAACGATAACAACAATAGATAGCAATTGTAATTCTCATATTGGTGTAGTGTCGTGTTATCGCAGTAGTGGTGTTCGAGTTCTTGGTCGCTTCAGCATCCGTCCTAGCAGCAGCAGTACAAGGAGCGGCAGCTACGGAGGCCGTGAGCAATAGACGGTCCCATACTTTCAACAGCATATAGGAGTTATGCCATGGTGCCCTTATATCCTGAAACCATGAACCTCGTAAAGCCCTAAAAAGCCCCAAATCCTGGGAAGTCACACTGCAGCCTCACCGTCTTTGGCTCCCGCTCCCGGTGGTCACGCTCCGCTCGCGCGAGCTCTGACTGGATGGTCTCCTGGAGCCGCATCATTCCTAAACCCTAAACCCAAATCCTAAGCCTTGACCCTGACATGAATTGTAGAACATGTTTAATGGATATTTCATGTCTAGCCATCGGATCCGAAGCGTAGGATATTAAAGTCATGTTGTTGGTATTAAGGGTTTGGGCTTTTGGGTAAACTTGTGACAACACGGCCTAAGATTCATGGCTACGATGAATCCTGGTTCGAAAGTATCGCCAAAAACAAGCAGTGTACAGGCTGATAGCAGGCAGTGAGGACAATGACATTTGGAAGCGCGAGCCAGGAAGTCTGGAACCCCAGAACAAACCCACCCCCTCATTGTGTCCTGGATAGTCAATGTCACTTGGCTCGCCATGGAATTCAGAACCCGAGTCCTCGGATCCAACATCTACAAAACATGCACGATCAGCCTCAGACACCACAATCAGAACGAGACCACGAAGTTCGGACACCAATCAGAGCACGCCAAAACTTCTCAATCGTACGTGGTGCAATATGCAGAAGGAAGCCCTTTGAAGAGGATCTGGGTCATATCGCATAGCGAACTATACTAGTTAGCAGACAAGATCATGGAGGTGAAAAGGATATCACTGCCGAAACTATAGTTTCGAGAGAAGCCCCTGGACACCTTCCATGGAAGCCATTGAGGAGGCTTTGCAATCCTCTGGACGTAGACTTGAGTCGATCTTGTTTGTTCATGAGCCTGCGGTATTAGGAAAGTAGCCCTTAAACACTAGAAGCCTGAACTCGAGCAGTAGGCCTGAAAGGCCACTCTGGCATCAAGATTCTGAGTGAATGATAAGATCTACAAGAATGCATGATCTCCTTTTTTCTACCGTCCTATCTTCGGGAATGATGCCTTGAGGTCTCTCCCGAGTTTCGGACATAGCCAGGTAGTACTAGCATGCTTTGAACAGCAAACTCCCGGAGTTTTGGGCCACTCGAGATACCTTTCTCCCAGCAAGGAACTCCTCCACAAACGGAAAGTGCCCACACATCTGCTTCCCGCTTCAAATCACTGCCTAAGCTTAGAGCTTATGCCGCCAGTCCTCGCATCATCCAAGTTGCTGCTTTGCAAACTCATTTTCGACGAATCTCCGGAGAGATTGCCTGCCCCGCGCGAAGGTCTGAAATGTGAGAAAAGGCTGCACATCGAGGCTACCATTATCACTACTTCCCGTAGAAGAGAAGCAAAAAGAAGACAAAACCACATGCATGTGTGTATATACATATATATGTATGTATGTGCGTATATACAAATACATATATATATATATACACACACTGTAATTCATTTTCAAGACTGATGCAATAGTTGTGGGGACCAAAAAACACTCAGACACACACACACACACACACAATCCCCTCCATGGCTCCAAACCCGAGAAGGCCGAACTCAGCTCTTTCTGGAGCCAAGGCCTCTCGGGAAAGCGCGGGCTGCCAATACTTTCATGGTCCAGTTCAGATTCATCCATCGGTGGGAAGTCCTCCATGGCTACAAGGTGCCTTGCTATCAAAGACAGACAACAGAAAGACTCAGCACATCGTTTCAGCAAGAGGACCTGCTATGCTCAGGTACGTAAGAAAGGACTGGGAGCTGCCTGCCTCTTTGACCTTATGCTCGCTTGTGCCGGGATATGTCGGCTGAGTCACCGTCCCCTTGCGTCGCGGTGTCTGGGGCACTGCTTTTCAAATGCGGCTCAGATGATTCTCCGAAGCTACACATGCAGTACAACCAACCATTGCATGCTGCTCGGCTCGTGGTCTGTACAGTACTATACCCTGACGGCCTCAGTGGCTGCAGGAAGCGGACCACACTGTCAGAACGGAACGAGTCCGGGAACGAGCGCGCACACTCAGTTGCGCCGCAATTACTGCATGCTGCTGCCCGTTCGACCTCTGATGACACAATGCAAAAGTTGGTGTCAGAATAAAAGTTTTGAGCCTAAAGCCGTGCTTATCCGCTAATCCCGACAACCTTCTCATCGTGACACCTGCCGACCGTAGCTCGGACATCCCAAATGCACATAGCGCAATTGTGAAATCCAATGCAACCACCTCGAACATGCACAAAGTCTCCCTGCGCACTGTTTGCACCCCTGACCGTGAGCGCTTTTGCGACAGAGCCAGACTTGGCCAAACAGGAGAAGGATGCCAGGAGACGGGATGGGCCGAATGCATCATCAGACCTTCCATATTGGTCGGGGGTGCAGGGTTAGTATAAGACTTTGAAGAAACTTCAATCTGTCATCCTCCGACCTCCACGAGAGGCCAATGAGCACAGTTTCTCGCAGGACGAAGCAAACACGCAGGGCCGCGGCTTTCTTTCGGGTCCTAGATTTCGGGGTTTCAGGTCTGGGAACTTCTCGTTCACGTCACGTACCTTGGGCTCGAGCTTGGCTGCAGGCAGGGGAAGGTCCAACACGACAAGAACCGAGGCTAAGGAGCCAACGTATGCTCGGGAAGCCGAACTCTACCTAGACTCTACTGATCTATCAGAGCCCTGCGAGACCTCGTCCCGAAGAAAGAAGATCACGGAAGTTCTCCGAGACACTGAAGTCACATGGGCGCATTCTAGTGGTGTCAAGGATACGAAGCCAAAGCCGTAATTTATGCCTTACGGAATCGCATTGACACCAATGACAAGCAAGGTAGTTGCAGAGTTTATAATGCATGCGACCGCAATGCGAGACAGTGTGTGAAACACGCTGGGTTGTTTCCTGCAGCAATCGAAACTTCTTGTCGTCTGACAAGAAGAAGCATCCATTGGTTTAGTGACAGCTGTCGTGCCCGGGACGTGGCTGTCTGACAAAATGATACTCGAATCGTGCATTCTCTCGCTCGCTCTCCCTATCTATATGCATTTGCACATATATATATATATATATATATACGTATATATATATATATATATATGTGTGTGTGTGTGTGTATGTGTACACACCAATGGACCAACCAGGCTCCGAGACAACGAAACGGCCAAGCGAAGACTAAAACCGGTTCAGGTGTGGAGCTTAGGGCTCTCGCTCTGTGGAGGTTTCTTAAGGTTGGGGGACTCGTGCTTGGGGCCTGAAGAAAGAATCTGACTCTTCTGGGTCTATGTTGGGCCCTATATAATGCTGAAGCTCCCAGAAATTCGAGTTTCAGCCATACCGGACCTGTTAAATCAAAACAACAGCAATGATAATTGCCATTCTGTAAAAGCACAAACCTGGACCTCTTGTTTCCTTGCGAGTCCAAGGATACAGAGGCTAGCCGCGTCCCGGCAGCGACAACCATTTGCGTGATTGCATGAGCATGTCACGTCTTGTCCTCTGCTTGGGCCGCGGTCGAAGGTCTTGTTTGCCAGCATCATGAACGAAGACATCACACAACCGACCTCGTACGTATCTGACATATTTAAAATCATGCTGGCAGAGAAAGCGGCCCGAGCAAAGCAGCGCGACATGCCCGCCATAAGACACTCAAACAGTGTGGAGCATGGCTCACATCCTTCGACAACACTCCAGGACCGCTTATCGGTGTGCTGGTGGCCTGACCATATTATTGAAACCGTAGCAATGATGTTGATCATGCTAATTAGATAACAGTACTACCAGTATACAGATATACCTCTTCCGCGCCCATCCGGGCTGAGGGACGCGGAAGCTCAGTCGAGCGTACCCTCGGGCTCGGCTCTTATTCCGCAGCTGCAGACCGCAGAGTGGATCTTTCTGTGGGCAAAAACAGTGCGCGCAACATACCACAAACAATTGTAGAGGATTATAGAGGGATATCGTAAACATATGAGAAAAGATGTGTAAATTTCGGGCATGGCTTGGGCAATGATCGGACATCTAGCCGAAGCTCACAAACTCTCAGAATGGGCTCTGCTCCTAAATTTGGTGTTCTCCCGTACCTCGCAGAATGTGGCAAAACCGGCGCTGAGCTTACGTACTTTCACAAGGCAGCATTACTTTCACAAGGCAGCAGGCACTGCGGCAGGGCTCATCGCTAAAGCATACATAACAACGAATCTTGTGCAATCAAAAATGTTGGTACGTTTGCCTAGATGGGTTCGGAGAGCCCCGTGAGTCGTCCTAAGGGGATTCACAGAAGCCAGAGTCCATGCGAACATGCGACCATCCCGGATTCTTCGATATCACATCCTTGCAAAGCTTTCAACACCTGAATCCCCCTGAAACATCTAACTTGCCAAGTCCTGCCTTTCAAGATCGAACGAACTAGTAGCTTGCCACTGACTGCAACGCACTTTGCCACTCTTCCCTTGCTCCGATTTGGAATCCGAGCGCCCTGCTTCTTTAGACACCGACCGCACCTGTTCCAAACCTGAGGCGGGAGCGGCTTCTGACGGCTTCTCACGATATGCTATATGGTATACTATGTTCTATTCTGTTCTAGTGTCCTCGACTACACTCTATGGTAGCAACTGGCTATTCGTATTGCAGGTAGTTTGGTATTGTATGATATTTTGGTATATTGTACGATATGGCATTCTAGTATGTTACACTATATTCTGCTAGACGCCGCATTATGTTAACAGTCTGGAATTGCATAGCATTCCATTCTTCATTACTCGTTTCTATTACTATAACTTGCTATGTATTATGCTGGGCTGTGTCATACCGAAGCATCGCAAAGTATAGCACAGTATAGCATGGTCAAGTTTGGTACGCTGTACTTTCGCATATATATATATATATACATTGCATTGTACATGTATATAAAATACTATGTACTATTACTAAACTTCATATAAAACCATATTGTAAAATGCCATGTTTCCCTGCATCTGACTATTTCATTACATACTATATAGATGGTATGTAGAGGGCTTACAGCATCACTTCAGGTATGGGTTTACAGGCTGCGCTTTGGGGTTTTGTCTGTACGGCAACCTCGACCCTGTAAGCATCGAACTGGTGCTCTCCTTCGCTGTACAAAGAGGCTTGTCAAGCATCGGAACCTCCAAGCACAGACACTGCTTACCTGGTTGGAGGGGCTTGCA